CAACCTCCTCCGCGCAGCCCCCCGATGCCTCTCCCTCCGCGACTCCCCCGGCCGCCGACCACACCATGCTGGACGCCCCCTCGCTGCCTTCGCCGCCCGGCTCGACCGGCACTTCAAGCCCAACTTCCCGGCGACTCTGCCCAATTCGGCGCAGGTCCGCATCGGACCTTTGACTCCTTTTCAGGACATTGTTCGACTGCCCTATTTAGCACAGACATCACGGGAAGCATGGCAAACTGGTGTGATGGCACTCGAAGGTGTTAAAAGTGCAGAGATTCTGCGTATGTGTTTTGCAGTTTTAGAGTAGATGGTGAGGCGCCCCGAGTGTGCCCTCCTTACCCGAGTTAACGCAAAGAAGGAAGTCTATAAACGGGTGGGCAAGGCCCCCCAAGATTTAAGCGGAATTGATGGAATGTAATGGAGTGAATGTGTTTAAATCGGGATTAGGGTCGTTGGGAGGGAACTTTGGACGGCCAACGGGAGTGTCCGTTGTGGGCACACTTGGATTCGGTGTGAATGGCGCTGCCGCTACGCAAACTGGGTATGACTGGCTCAGTGAGAAAGTGTTTGGCACAACTCTTAAAGTTATGGCTAGCTTATGGGCAGCGACCCTTGTTTCAGGGCGCGGTTGGTGATAAAGTCCAGGAAACCAAACTGAGCACAGTTTTGCACGGCTGGGAATGCAGTTTCGAGACGATCCGTGCAAACGGGGAACTTGGGACTAAAGGTTGGCGAAACGAGTGTGTGGCTATCTTGTTTTTTGCTCCCGCCCACCTCATCCCAGGGTATTGGCTTGAATGTTGATGTAAGGAGAGACAATTGGCAAACTGGTGTGACGGCACTTGAAGGTGTTAAAAGTGCAGAGATTCTGTGTATGTGTTCTGCAGTTTTAGAGTAGATGGTGAGGCGCCCCAAGTGTGCCCTCCTTACCCGAGTTAACGCAAAGAAGGAAGCCTATAAACGGGTGAGCAAGGCCCCCCGAGATTTAATGAAAATCAAGGCAATTTTGGATTGGCCGACGCCCAAGTCGATTACGGACGTTAGGTCATTCTTGGGATTGTGCTGCTTCTACAGGAAGTTCATTCACTGGTTCAGTGAAATAACTGCACCTTTGACTGATCTAACCAAAAAAGATAAACCTTGGGTCTGGGGCGACCAGGAGGAGAAGGCATTTAATGGGCTAAAGAAGGCTACGGTCACCGCCTCAGTACTACAGCTTCCCGACTTTGAGCGCGAATTCACCGTCACAATAGATGCATTAGAAGTGTCGCTAGGCGCAATCTTGCAACAGGACTTCGGCTAGGATTATAACCAACCTGCTATAAGAGACGCAAGCTGAATTCTGCTGAGACAAGATATGGGGCATATGAACGGGAGCTACTGGGAATCGTTTGGGCAGTGGGGAAGTGGCGGCATTACCTTGCCAACCGTCATTTCACTATCCAGACAGACCACGACTCATTGAAGAACCTACCAAATCAACCCGCTATGAATAGGAGGATTTGGAAGTGGGTTCAGGCTCTTCAGGGGTATGATTGTGACCTGGTCCACATACCAGGCAAGAAAAACCCCGCAGATTTTCTCACCCGGAGAAGTCTCAAGGACGTTAAAGAAATGGTACACGTCTGGGAGGAAGAAGAGTCGTTGGTCAAAAGGCTATTGTTGGGAGAAGACAAGTCTGACGATGGCATTCAAAAGAAATTAGATCAGATTTTTGCAAAGACGCGTCCGGAGGTGACCCAAGTTTCGAGTCAGGAGAAAAATTTGGAACCATCAATTTTGGTCGCCCGGTCCCGAATTTCATTGGTGAGAGGTATGAGAGAGGGGATTAAAAGGGGACTTCGTCAAGACACTCGTTGGGTTGATATTCTATCTCAACTGGAATCAGCCCAGGGTAACGACATTACTATTGGTGATCGAACCTACCGGCTGTCAGGTGGGTTACTGGAGATGAGGGATAGCAACAAGCACCGAAGGACACAGTGGCGGCTGGTGGTGCCAGATGTGCCAGACCTCAAAAAGCAAATTCTAAAGGAATTACATGAAATCCCTTACTCAGGCCATCTTGGCTACCACAAGACATTGAAAAATATACAATATTCTTTTTATTGGCCCGAGCACACCCTAGACATTCGTGACTTTGTCATGGGGTGCCCAGTGTGTCAACAAGAGAAAGCCGTCCACCGTGTGCCAGCTGGACTTTTACAGCCCCTCAAACTCCCAGAACAGAAGTGGGCAGACATCAGCATGGACTACATAATAGGGTTGCCTAAATCAGAGGCAGGGAACAATGGAATTCTCACCATCATAGATCAGGCCACAAAGATGGTGCACCTTGCACCAGTCAAGTAGACTATTACGGCTGCTGATACTGCCCGAGTCTACTAGAATACAGTGGGAAAATTGCATGGGATTCCTCGTTCCATCGTGAGTGATAGAGACCCCCGCTTTGTGTCCAAGTTCTGGCGGGAGCTGTGGAACATTCTGAGAAGCACCTTGAGGATGTCCAATGCCTACCACCCTCAGAGTGAGTATTCCCCTTGGACCACCAATGCAGAATTTGGACTCGCCGGCACTCTGCGGGGCCATCGCGGGGTGGAATGAGAGAGTGCAGAGATTCAGACAAAGATCAAATATGATTCCATGAAGGTGGAGGTCCAAGTGTGGATCCATGGGTACAAACCAAGGCTTGGCATCAAGCAGAAGCCTCCCCTCAGTGCAGAGAAGCATAGATGAGGCGGACCGAGGTGAAGGAGGCGGATGCAGGCCGGAGCTGATGATGGGACAGCTAAAGCTGAGGAGATAGAGGTTGTGGTGAGGAGGCTTGGACGATGTGGGCTAGCGAGAGTCCGCGGATGTGGTATCGCCCTCCGGCCTTTGGCATGATCTTTTGTTATTTGATTGAGGGGACTTTTTATGTTTTTGGATGTATCATATGTTTTTAGGATTCTCAAGGGTACGTTGGGTAATAGGTGGGGCAGTGCACTGAAGAGAATCCTAGGAAACTAGAGTTGGGGTTCAGGGGAAGCGATCCATTGGAGGTTTTCTATGGTGGGAAAGACCCTGTCCATTTGTCGTATACAATGTTTAGACCCCATTTGCATAAATGTGGCGGGGGCATGCGGTGTAGCTGCCCCCGGTCTGTAATTCACTTTGGGTTGTTACTGGTGCACCGGACACGCCGCCTCGTGAAACGAGCGTGGGACCTGGAGGTCGGGCGAGCCGTTTCCTTCGGGAAAAGAGCTCTGAATCTGTGCGTGGGGTGCTTTCCCCAGTGTTGATTATCCAGCGAGGAGTTGTGCATCCAAATCTCCTGCCCTGTGTTACTCCGAAGGGTCGTACCATGTGTGGTTACCGATTTTTACAGGTGATTTGAAAAATGGCATGCCAAAAGTGATAATAGGCAATGGGAGCAGCCCAAAAGTCTGAAATTGATCCATTCTAGGGACTATCTGGACGTTTGAAAGTTTCAAGGAGGTTCTGCAACAAGTTATGAGCTATTTGCCGCTGATCAGCGGGGTGTTTGGGCATCTTCCCACATTTATTTGATTTTAGTGCAATTATATAACATCTTAGCCTCAATGGCTGTATCCCCCCCCCCTCCCTGAATTTGAAGTTATGCGCACAAAAATCAAAAACAGTGTTTTCCCTACTGTTGTTGCATCACCCAATGTATTCCTCAAAGCATGCACCTGTCCATGTTTTCTCCATTTGTCCCAGAAGTTTCGAGCTTTTGGCAGTTATTTTGCCTTATGATTTTTAGGCTGTTCAGTGAATCTGAACATCAGTTTCCAGTGTCCCTTGAGCCTACAACTCCACATACTTTTGCTTATCAATCAATCGACTCTATTCCATCATCCATCAAATGCGCTTTTCCGCTTTTCAACATTAGTGGGCATCTGTCCATGCCAACACCCGACTTGTCGCTGGTGTTGCGTCACCCAGTCATTTGCCCTATGTTAGTCGTGTGTTTGTTGACTTTGTGAAGCAACAACAGGAGCAAAGGCGACTTTAGTGTATATTCAGCCCAGGGGAGAGGGTTGGAGTGAGCAATATGCTGGTTATACCCGTCTGCACTGATTGGGCGTACACGGTTCATTGCTTCAAACGGGGCACTACCCACGGTGTGGCAGGCAGGAATGCAAATCTTATTGCACGCTCCTTGATGCGAGGTCGGAGCTAATCACCTGATGCAGTGATACCTTGTGCACACCAAAAACCCCAAATGCAGTGCCCCCTGACTGGTGTACAGAAAGCAACGAGACTAGAAGTCTGGCAGACAGCACTCGGTATGGCTGCCACCCATGTGAGGCAGGCTTCCCCCAAAGGATAAAGGACAAGCCACTTGCAGACGAACCAGAATCACTCCCACATGCCCCTTGCTCGTGCCCCCTGCAGCATTTGTTCCTCTGCCTCCTTTACGGTCAGTCCCAAAACAGAGATGATTGCAGCACAGATTCTGACTGCTGTTAAGGCACCTCGTGCATTACCTGGATTCGTTCAAACCAGTGCTCTCTAGCTAAACACCGCCTCAGGAATGGTGTCCAAGCGGATTGGGTCCCTGGCCATGGTGTTCAAGCGGGATTGGGTAATTCTTGATCACAAATTCACTGCAATCCCCAACAAGGACCACTGGCAGGACGCAAAAGTCACAGAAGCAGCTGAATGTGGTGGTAGCAGCTCCTGCCATTTTCAGTTCAACGGATCACACAACAGAGGCCACAACAGTCCAACTAGGCTATCATTTCCAGCACGTACCATCAGCATGCACCGCAACACTGCACGCTATCTCTGCTGCAAGAAATAGGCACTTGAATATCAACAAACATTCACACTGTATCCTCTCTCTGGACAAGGCTGCTTTTTAAGCCCAGCGTCCGTCACAATGCACTTGTTGTTCCTGTGCAAAACAAATTTTCTTTCACTGCGTTAAACTTCATCCTCCAAAATGTATAGTACACGGTCCCTATCATACATCCGCAAAGGGCAGATCTCTTCTTTCATATCTTCTTCAGCACCATCCTCCTGCATTTCGCGTGCACCCTGCAAGAAACGAGGAAAGTCAATTGTGGCCAGTGACAGGACAACTCATCACCCAAATAGGCTCGCGTGTCCCCTTCCACACGCCGTTTCCTCTTCATGGCAATGGGATGGCTCAAATCGTATCACAGGTACCACGTGCTGGACACTGCTGTTTTCCTCCAAATATTTTTCTTCTTCTCGCCTGGTTTCCTCGTTCTTTGGTGTCCTCGTGGACACTGCGCCTGCCGTTTGGGGGGATGACAACCAGGATTGTGGGTACGTTGGAGAATAAGAAACATGGCACAGAGATACAACACAGCTTGATGTTCAACCCACAAGCTACTCGATGAACAACAGCACAATCCCGTACACCAGCAGACCAGCAAAAGTTCTCAGAACAGACGCGATTCGGAGCCCAGGAGCCGCGCAGCCGGCGCCCCCTCACCCACCGTGCGCAGAGGCTGCTCGTGATGGCGGCCATCAAAGGTCCCTGCGCCTTCTCCTCGTTCCCGAACAGCACGAAGTACACGGACTGCGCCATGCTGTAGACGCACAGGACCGCCCACATCGCCAGGCGCGTGGAGCCCTCTCCCCATTCCCGGCCATCCTCTCCCCACCCATCGCCCCAACCCCCCTCCCCTCCCCCACCATCCCTTCCGCCCGCGCCATCGTCCATCCCGTCGCCGTCGCCAGCGCCCCCCCCGCGCCTCCTGCGCCTTTTGGCCTTCTTCGACGCACCGATGCATTTTTCCGGCACGACCATCGAGTTGGCGCCGGCCTGCTTGGGCGGGGCGACGCCGCACATGGGGCCTGTGGCGTTCACGATGTCCAGCGCCTGGGGCGCGGCGGTGGCCAGCCCGCCGCACGCCACGACGCCCGACACTCCCAGCTGGGTGGCAGGGTGGTGGGCGGAGGGGAGGGAGGCGCCGCGCAGGGCATGGCGTTTGGCCCCGGCGAGGAAGATCACCACCGACCCCAGCGGCAGCAGGGGCCCCGCGCCGAGGGAGGGCATCCGCGGTTCTCGGATCGAGGGGCCTCAATCCTGAAAGGGACCAAATGGGGGCGTCAAGCGGAGCGTCCGAAAGGGAATGTGACACGCGGCGGAGCGGCGGGCCACCGGGGAAGATGCACAACAGGCGGGGAGGGGCGCGGTGTCAGGGGGATCTGCAAGAAGGGATTTCTAACCGGACCAGTCAACAAGTCGGAGCTCCGATCCGTAAAGGGACGGAGTCGAGCGAGCCCCACAACGCCACCAGAGCAAACCTGCGAGCCCGGCGAAGAGCAGGATACGAAACGCCAGATCTCCACGTCAGGAGCAAACGTCCGTGGGAGCCGCCTCGCGCCAGGGCCCGCTTCGGCGTGCCGCTGCCCAACGGAGATGTTCCTTCAATGACGGTTTTCCGTCCATGACCAGACCGTGCGAACAGCGGCATCTCGCGAAGTCCCGAGCGACGCGTGCAGGACCCATGGCGGGTGCCGTTCGTCGGGCAGATGCGCGCGTTTGCGCAGCTGCCGTTTGGCGACGCAGGGCCATCGCCCCCAAACCGTTGCACTGCCAATTAATGGCCAACGCGGGAAGCCGTTCGGTCCGGGCGAGCTGGCCAACGTCAACATCCAGGCACCCACCTGAAGCGTTCTTCAGAGCCTCAGGAAACGGCAGGTGTGGTTCACCGCGCGCCCGTCGCCAAAGAGGGCCGCTCCCTTGGAGACGCGCCAATAGCCTTCGGCGAGGGCCGTGAAGCGCTAACGGGTTCCTGTGGCAAGCGAAACAGGGGGCGGCACAAGCGACGGGACAAACGGCAACTTGGGCGCCGGTCCAACTGCGTGCCGGCTGTCCACACGCAAGCGCAACGGCGGATCTACCAAGTCAAAGTTATTTTAACAGCCCACCATTGCCTCAACCTATTCCTCGGGTTGTTATGCACTCGCTGGATTTGCGGCAAAATTTAATGGTTGGGAGGGGGATTCGAGCGTGTGGCCAACTAATCGGCAGGGCGGACCCTTTCCAACCGACTCCACTTGGTCTCATCAGCACCTAACCCGTTTGGTTCCTTCGGGTGAAATGCCACAACAGCATCACGCCTCCAATCGCACCTTTGGCATTGCACCTATTTCTCACCCTTCCCCATCAAGCAAAATTTTCGGAGCAGCCGCGCCAAGTGCGAGCGACACCCCTTCGGCAACGCGGCACACGGCCCGTCGCACTCCCTACCAGCACCCTAGGCGCGGCCCCATCCCCCAGGAGCCCGACAGCCGGGGCTTGCGTGGAAAGTCACACGCGGAGTCCTTTCCGCCAATTTCCCGGGATCTTTTCAACGGCCCGTAGATCCCCTGCCAACTGGCCGGCTTTGATTCTGCGCCTTCCGCTCTGTCGTCGCCCATTGCTCCGTCTGCACCGCCAAACCGTCGCCCGCCTTTGCCAAACACACCCGCCGGCCGCCTCCCCCCCCTCCCCCTCTCGCCCCGTCGTCCGTCGCGCGGCTGTCAGTGCTCGACGCTGACCGGACCCGACGAGCGATGAGCCCCGCATTGTCCATTCCCTCCTCCGGCGGCGCGTGCCGCCAAATGCAGTGTGACCGTCCCGGCGTCGTGATGGTCGCGGCGCGCGCCTCCCCTTTCCTGCCGCCGAGGCCCGCCATCTCGGGCCGCGCTGGCCAGCTGCATGTCGGCTCTCCGCTCATGCCACAGCACAGACCGGGGCGCTGCCCGCCTCCGCCGTCGGTCGCCGCCGTGGAGCCGTCAACCACTGACGACCAGGAGCTGGCGCGCCTGGCGGAGGAATACGGCTACCTGAAGATCGGCAAGGAGTTCCCCAAGGGCGTGACGCTGTCGGACATCGTGAAGTCGTTGCCGCCGGAGGTCATGGAGCTGGACCACGCCAAGTCGTGGCGGGCCGTGGGCCTGACGCTGTCCGCGGTGGCGGGATCCTTGGGCCTGGTCGCCCTGGCGCCCTGGTACCTGCTGCCGTTCGCGTGGTTCTTGGCGGGGACGGCCGCCACGGGAATGTTCGTGGTCGGGCACGACTGTGGGCACAGATCTTTCCATAGGAACAACCTGGTGGAGGACGTCGTGGGCACGGTCATGATGGCGCCCCTGATCTACCCGTTCGAGCCCTGGAGGATCAAGCACAACGCCCACCACGCTCACACCAACAAGCTCGAGGAGGACACGGCGTGGCACCCCATTCGACCGGGCCAGTTTGAGAAGTCGTCGCCCGCGTGGCAGTGGAGCCTGCGGCTCATGCTGGGATCGCCCCTGAAGTGCTTCACTTCCATCGCGCACTGGGCTATGCTGCACTTCAACATCAACCTCTACACCGAGAAACAGAGGCCCAGGGTGCTCGTCAGCTGGGCAGCGGTGGCGGCCTTCGTTGTCCTCGGCTTCCCTGCGATCATCGCCAACCTTGGTTGGGGGGGCTTTGTCAAGTTCTGGCTCATGCCCTGGCTGGGTTACCATTTCTGGATGAGCACCTTTACGGTGGTGCACCACACGGCGCCCCACATCCCCTTCAAGGATGCCAAGGACTGGAACGCCGCCGAAGCCCAACTGGCCGGCTCCGTGCACTGCAACTACCCCGCGTGGGTGGACACCCTGACACATGACATCGCCTGGCACGTGCCGCACCACGTCTGCGCCAAGATCCCGTGGTACAACCTCAGGGCGGCCACTGAGTCGCTGCGGGAGAACTGGGGGGTGTACATGACCGAGGCCAACTTCAACTGGAGGATGATGAAGTCAATCTTCACAGAGCTGCATGTATATGACAAGGAGAAGAACTACATCCCAATTGACCACGCGAAGCCAGAGAAATTCTTTACAGTGCAGAGGAAGATATTGCCGAACAGCATGTGAATGATGGGAAAGTTTTCTTTGAAGGGCACTTGCTTGTGCTTGGCTGGCAAGCCAAAATGGGTCTGAGAGTGGGAATCGGCACGAGTGGGTTGAACATACTGTAGAGCTCTGGGATTGTTTATTTGTGGATGTGTCTGACTTGTGCATACTTATTGGTTGGGACTTGACCTCTGCGCGCTGAGGCCATCGGAGAAGACATTGTAATTCGCTTGATTTCGTGATGTTCATGTCTGCATTCATTTTGCCTTTCCACTCGAAGCAAGAATCGATGACGAACAGCGTTTCTCAGCTTGTTTGTTCCCATCGGTGCCGAACAGCGTTACTCAGCTTGTTGTTCCCATCGGTGCCGAACAGCGTTACTCAGTTTGTTTGTTCCCAAAGACGCGCTTGAGGAGCTGGAGAGGGAGCAGAGTGCCCATTGTGCCTCTTCAAGCGGGCAGAGTTCCTTCCTGGCAACGGTATCCTGAGAAATCCCTATACGCAGAGTGACACTCTAGCAGGGGGCCGTTCGGATCTTGTAAACTCAGGATTTCGCCATCAAAGCGACGGCAATATCTCCAGAGCGGTAACTCCATGTCGAACACCACAAGTTGATCAAAACTCTCGACTTTGGTGACAACTCATTGGGGAGGGTCATCACAATAGGTGCATTTGAGCATGCAGAAAAACACTTAGAATGGTATATCGGGCGTGCTGATGACCTGATCCTGATGCCTTGTTCCGATACTAGTAGTGGCTCCCCATGCTCATTTAATGGGTTCCATGAGATACCGATTCGATTATAACCGTCCTGGGCTGCCACGCTTATCTGGCAGCATGAGGCACATGTATTCCAAAACGGCACTGCACATGACGCCTCATATTGACAACCCGATCAGTGTGTGATCATCAATGGCAAAAGCGGACGATGAGTCTCTAAAGCAATCCGGGCGAACGGCGCACGGGATGGTGCAGGTAACCCGGCGCTGCATGAATTTAGATGAGAGGGCGAGGGAAATAAATAAGTAGTTAGAACTATGAGGAGTATGGTGGTAAACATGGTGTAGGTGACCATGCCGAGCATGGTGTTGTGAATGGTGAAATGGCTATGGAGGTATGGGCTGTGTGAATATAGTATGCTTACAGCAAAGGTTGCTTAATTGGTGCACACCCTTCAGTCCACCTGGTTACGGCTTGGCTTCCCGTGCCGTGGTGCGATTCACAGTGATAGACACTGTGGATGGTCTGCAGAGGCAAGATGTATCCCTGGCTTCATTGGGGCTGCGTTTGTATGATTTGCATCGGCGCTTCACACGATCAGCTGAATGATTGACCTCTGTTCGAGTCGCCAATACATGATATGAAATTTATAGCAAGCTGACGACCCGTGAGCCTCAAAGGGTGGCTAGGAATTGGCGAAAACCCACACAAGTGGCAAAAGGGCTGAGCCTTTTACAAAGGGGCGAACTCCAGCATAAAAGGAGAATATGGAGATAGCAATGCGGCAAGACGTACTGGTATCTCGATATGCGCCCAATTCTGCTAACGTACGGGACACGATACCGACGCCACGGAGGTCCTACATCCCAAGGAGTGATGCGACGCACTGGGCTCCGGGCGCCACCCCTCTGGACGTGCGCGCTTGGCTTTCAAAGTTGCGTCCTCACTCGGGAACTGCTTACCACAACACAGCACTGCCGGAAGGATGGATCTGCACTGATCGGCCGCAGCAATGCGCGCTGATTGGTTCGCACCGGCGATCGGGTTCGAGAGGGTGCGAGCACCGATGGCAGTCGGTGGGAGCGGCAATGGCTGAGACTCATGGCGAATCTTCGCCGATGGATCCACTGGCTGAGTGGAGGCCTCGAAGGCTGCGTGGGATTGCAGCTTGGAGAACAAGCAAACGGCAAGAGGCGGCAGCACTGATGGTGGTGCAACGCAGCAACGGTCTCACGGGACAGGTGACTGGCTTTGGGGGCCCAAATGATGTACCACTACCAAATTACTCACAGTGGCAGACAGAGCAGCGAACGTGAGCATCCAGTGAGATGCTGCAAAGCTGATATTGTACGTCTCCAACGCCTTCCCAGACGGGAAGACTTTGCCAATATTGGCCAGGCTTTGCATCAAAGGTGATCAACCGGAACTGACCCAAGGGAGGTGGTGATACATGCTACAATAATCTACGGCATCGGCAAAGCAAGATGACGATCAATCTGTGTGATTAATGTCATTGTGCGACTGGACATTTGTGGAAACTGCTGCGAGCCTATGCTGAATACAATGGCGAATCGGAGATTTGAAGTCCTACTCTAATTGATTGAGAAATTTTCAAGACGCTTGCTGGAGTAAGTTTAACTTCTCTGTGATTGCCGTGCATCAAAACGCCAATACTGATGTGGATTTTCATGCTGATCTATGGACAATTGATTTAGAGCAGCCTGGGGCCATGTGTGATGTTGTTGCTTTTCAATTTTTCTGCCTTAGGCAGATGTGTTTTACGTGGTTCTGTGATGCTCGACAGCCCAATAGGGATGCGACCTTCCGCGCATGGAAACATCATGAATTTGGTTGTGAACTTGGTCATGAAAATTATGGACTTTTGTTGCTGCTGCGCTGGGTGAGTGTATCAGTCCTTCAATTCGATCAAGAAATATCATTGGGCTGATTTGTGGCGTGGCTGTGACGTCACAGCGTTGTTTGTGAGCGGTACATTGTAGTGCGGGAAAAGGGCAGGCGGAGCCGTTGGTGCGAGCGAATATTCCTGCTAATCTTTCAGTCGCAGCACAGATTCGATTGCGGTGATGTGCGTGTGCTGGAAAGGTGATGAAAGCATGAAGCGATGGCCACTTGAGCGTTGCAAGGGGGTTATGTGAGGATTGGAAGAGCATGCTGTGGGTTTTGCGGAAGCGTGCTGCAATGTGATACGAATAGTAGAGTATGAGGCGCAGGGAGGGTGAGAATGATGTGAACCGCCATGTTTGGGCTTGACCTGATAGAAATTGTATGAGATTTGATTGTACTGCCCTTTCTGACGTGGCTAGGGTATTTGGGGAGTGGCTGCCGTGCTGTGTTGGGGTCGCGGGCCGCATGCTGCTGTGCCCAGTGTCGGAGAAGCTGAACGGGACGCACCATAGTCCGTAAAGTTGTAAGCACCCTGTTGACAGTCTCGACGTGTGCGACCCGTGCACGCAGGCCGCGGCGCGCAGCCCGACCAAATTGGCTTCACAGCCAAGAATTTGAGGTCGCCTGCGCTGGGATATCGACAGATCGCACCCATTGCATTTTTGCCATTCGAGTGCACGGGTTTCCAAGCGATTCTGTGAGAATCGAAGCGGCTTTCTGCGTGTTCCTCACCCAAGGCTTGGATTTCTGCGTGAGCCCGGGCGTGCAAGGCCAGGAGGTCCGTTTTTTCGGATTTTCTGTGGCAGAATCGCTGGCGACGTGAATGCAGGGGAGCTGTGCGTCCCAAGATTCTTCTCCTTCGACGCAGATCCAATCGAGCCGGAAGGCTGGACAGGCGAAGGCTTGGCGCTTTGTGGATCTTCACCCGGGTAGCTGCCATGTCAGAAGGCCAACTTTTGCACCTCGAGACAGGCATTGACGCCGAACTTGGGGTTGACGACGTGGAGGGTGGAGAGCGAGAATTTGCTGAACTTCAAACTTCATGTGCCAACATAATTATGCAGCAAAAAATTGCGTGCACAACCAGCAACAAATCAATTGCCAGCCTGCTTCAGCACATGCGAAGAGGATGGCCGGGTATCATGATTTCGTGGTATTCCATCATCATGGAGCAAGCGATGCTGTTGTATGTTGCCCCGACGGGTGAGCGCCCGGGCGCTGAAGAAACGCTTTAGTCTGGGCTGGAAGAGGTGGCTGCTTAGGCGGTCATGTTCGAGCAATCTATTCAGGAATTGGTGGTCCGAGCCGAAGGGAGGGTGGCAGAATGTGCGCATGTCATGGCGGCTCCAGACCCCTAATCAGAGTACCCGCGCTGAGTCCACGTAGCCATCTTCGACGGGGTCTGGTCCATATAATTTGAAGCAGACACACTTTGGAAGGAAGGAGAACTACGATATTGCTACGATTTCACGCTGAAATGTTAACCACCCGAATATTGTGCGTGCATATGCACGGATATCCTCACACATTTGTGCAACGAGGATTTTTGGAGGTTTTGATAGTGCAATACGGGGGAATGAACGTCATTGGAGTGTGGCTGAATGAAATGCAGTTTTCTGTCGATAGCAATGACTCTGGAATCTTCAAATTGTGGCAGGTTTTACAGTTCCAGCGTCTGGATGTGTCACGGCTGCTACAATTTTAGGATTCCTGTGTCTGGATTCCAGACACAGGAATTTTTGAGTGGAAATGAACTGCACTCACCAGCCTTGCGTGCAGTGTGGAGCAACATAGAGCCAAGTCACACGTTGTGTCGTCCACTCATATGACAGAATCGAAATGCAGTCAATGTGCGTCAGGGCTGCAATCCTTAAACTTGCCTCCGGCAAAATTGCCTTCACTCAGAGCTCCCGTGTCTGATGTAGGATCTGATTCTCTTCGATGCTGCATGAGTTGGAATGGCTTCTGCTTGAATCGTCATGCTCCCGCTCTTCTACTTGTTCTTCCCGCCTTGGCTTGCTCTCCCCGATCATACTGTATTTGCTTAGCTGGAACCTTTCCTTCTAAGTGAGAAGCACTCTCTTGCTGTTTTGTGGACGCTGGCGCGCCGGGAGACAGGTTCTCGTGGAGATGTATTCGGTGGAGCCTGTGTTGCTTGAGCTTTCTCTTGCAGGGACCCGGGAGTGCACATAGTTCCCTCTCGCTTCTGCCTCGAAGCGTGTCTCCCCCGTTTGTGTATCTTATCGTCGCGTGTGTATGTATGAAATTCTGATCTAATCGCTATCGACTTGGTCTGTCGAGGCCGCACATTTTGATGGCTTCATCATGTGGACAAGGGAGGGTTGCTGGCTGATTGTCCACCACGCTCAGCCCTGGGAAGCACTGCCATTGCGATTCAATGTGTGTGTGCAGTAGCAGCGTGTTATTATTTTAGCTGGCCACTCGAAATGCCGAACGAGTTGTATGGACAGCTACACCACTCTGGAAAATGACCCGGGGATATGAACTCGTTGGGATTTATCGACACCCTGGGGACCAGCGCAACCACATGCTTTGCCACAAGGTGCTGCCTGAGAGGGCACCTAGGCAGGAGGACCCTGTCAGGACCACGCATCCAACAAATTTAGTAAAAGAACTCTGTAGTAGTGAAATGGTACAATTAAAGCTTTGAGGAACACACATTGGCACAGCTTGCCTGCAATATCACTGCTCTGGAAACAGAGCAGGGCACAGGTGGCACAGCACGTTCAGCTAATCCTGCACACCTTCAGAATGCGCGACTATGCAATAAGTCGCTGGGGTGCCCTCAGCTCTCCATGCTGGGGTCTTATCTTGTCCCAGGGGGTGAATTCCGGTTCCTTCTGTGTTGAAGTGAATACACGGGTCCTTATGCCACCTCCGCTCGCTGAGTCCCTTGCGATTGCCTTTGCCACTGCCCCAAAGACAAACTCTTTGCACTCCTCCTCAGTCATGCCATTGCGCCAACGCTTGTCACACCAACCGTATATGTAGGCACTCCCAGAGCCTCCAAGAGCATAGGGAACTTCAATGAATGTACCTCCTGGCGGCACTGCAAATACCTGCCCACCTTCTGTCTTGTCCCAGCCTGCCACTATTGCCTGTACCTGCAATTGGTCCTTGTTGCGATATAAAATCTGATGGACGAGGTGCGCTGCTGTCCTGACATCACAATCCTCACCCAATTCTGCCTCATGCCTTTGCAGCATCAGTCGTGTCTCAGAGGCCACAGTCGTGGAGTCAGCCACTGAGCCAGATCGAAGCATGAAGATATTCTTTGTGAGAGGGGAGAGCTTGTCCTGACCACGCATCGACACGTAGATCCCTGCCAACATTAAAAGAGCATGACGTTCGGGGAGCATGGTATCTGCCTTGCTGGGAAGTTCTCAAATACAGGTTACAATGAACGGGTTGACTCCAGGTGTTTGAGTACACTTGTCACAATGTCACAAGGCAGTCCCTGTACGCACACTAGGCAATGTGGGAGGCTGTTTCTCACAGCACAGAAAAGGGCCTGACACACAGCCAGCTCATGGCTCCACATGGCCTCAGCTGCCGCGGAGCTCGGTTAATGTAATCAAACCGGATTTCAACAACAACACAGCCAGCTCAGGACGGGAGGTTTCCTTTGTATGATGTGTGTCCTCTTTGGCTAACAAAGAACCACAGAGGCGTGGACAGACGAAGAAAAGCCTCAAGACAACACACTGGCCGTCTTGCGCCAGATCTGGTGCAAACGCGACAAAACACTTAGTTGAGACGTCGATTCCCTGTGATTGCGGCACATGGTTTGGAACACCAACATGGCAAGAGCACAGCTCATCTCCATGCAATCAGCCCTGAACACCCCTGCCCTGAGGAGCTCCATCACTGTCAGGATCGTTGCACAGCATGCGAGAGATTCCAGCGCTTGTTCACAGGTGATATGAGTGCTTCGAAAGGTGGATCCGTTCTTCTTTTGGAAAAGGCGGCATCGCAGCAAACGACCCAACGCAGGACGAGGATGATTTGGCAAGTATGTGTAACAACAGTACAATCAGAAAAATAGAAGAAAAAAAGGCGCACCGGATGTAGCTCGACAGTCCGCTCCCACCACAACCCCTCCATCATAGGTCGCCGCTACGATTGTGGTCTGCGGATCAGACGGAAAATCAGCAGCTGCGGAAACGATCTATAGGAAGAGCTGAACGCAAACAGCGCAAACTCACCCCGGTGGTGAGGTCGCTTTCCCAAGGGTGTTCCATAGAAGGCAACATCCGGAAGGCGGTGGCGTTGCCGAGCGTGGACACGCAGGGGCGTTGGGCGCGACGGCACGGGGTCGTCTGCGAATGCTGTCGTGTGGGGTGAGCGCTGCGTGGATGCACACATTGCACAACAAATTGCCCTCTCAACAACACCGCAATTGGCAATTACCCTGGCACCGGCATCTGCCCTCCTGACACCGGTGACGTGTTGTCTCACAACCCCATTTTATGGAAGCTTGCCTGGCAGTGGGCACGCTGTGGCCCACTGAACCAGTGTGGATTGCCACCCCCTGGGCTCTAATCGCCACAGCGGGGGGTCAGGCCACTGGCTGCCCGCGGCCGCGCGTTCGGGGGCGGGCTTCTGGAGGGCGTCGCCGCGCCATCATAGCAAGCTCGTAACAGGCCAATGCCGTCGATCAATGCCAGGGCGTCCACATCAGACCATGCATTGGCCTGCCCTTGGCCCGCTGCGGCTCAGGAATGCCTCCTCCTGCGGAAGCGAGCTGGCGGCAGGGCGAAGGCATCTTGGAGGCGGCGTCAGGGAATTGCGATGGCGAGTCTGGGCGACGTGCTGGGCGGCGTGCTGGGCGGCGTTGGGGACCTGACGCAAATGGTGCCTCCGGCCGACGTCGACCTCTCGACGGTTTCTAACTTTGCCACCACGGCGATGGAGCTGGTGCCGGAGCCCTTGCGGCCCATCATGTCCCTTCTCGCTGATGATGTTATGGGCTTGATCAGCCTGCAGCCGACCACTGGGCAGATCGGGCGCTTGGGGGTGCGCGAATGTTTGCACATTTTCCGCACACCAATTTGACCAGAGGGCCCGCTTGCACTTGGCCTCGGGGACGGCTTCGCGTTTGCTGCTCAATCTCAGCCTCAAGCTCAGCAGGCGGCTGTTAATTTTGGGCATCAGCACTGGGAGCATCCACTCCAATCCTCATGAATATCAAAATTCACGAAACACTGGCTTTCCACTTATCAGGCGATGTCTGGCTTCCTCCCAAGCACGGCATGCAATCATGAGTGGTGCTTTTGGAAGTGTGTACTGTGGCAAATGTAGCACTTTGGTCCCCATTGGGTGTCCGCTTTGTTACACAATGCCTTTCACTGTTGCTACAGTAGCAACTGGTAATGGTAAGCTTCCATTTTCTGGATCAAATTAATCACAACTGGCACGCTATAAATTCAATGCCTCTGATTGCTCTTTGATCTAACATTCCCTGCACCAGTGACCACTGTGTTGTTTGTGACCATGCAGTTGATATACTACATCTTGTTCACCACACCTGCACCTCTCATTGGCATCATGGATTACTACATTCTTGGCCCATTGGGAAAGCTGCTGCAGAGGAGATGGAAGTCTGAAGATTTCGTAGTCCGAAACAGGTGCGTTCGGGCTTCAGGAAATTCATGACATGGACATGAGTGTGAGTTGAATTGATGTGATGCTGCGATTCAGTGCATTGATTTCCTGCCTGCAGATCACTGCAAAAGGTCAGTGAACCGCTCAACAGATCACCAACTTGAATCTGTACTCTTCTTTGTACCTTGAAGATCCTCCAGAAAAGGAGATATGATTGTCGCCACAAGCGATAACACATTCAAGAGGGGCGAATGCTTGGTAACAGAAGGCAGTGGCTTCACACTTGAAGTGCCGTTGTTGTGGCTCTGTTTCATAGGTTTTTCTTTGAGAGCCAGAGTGGTCAGACATTTATTGCGACAATTCATCACATCAGCAAAGGTGATGAAGCCAGCAGCATTCCTGTGGCCACGCAGGATTCACCACTGGTGACACATCTGGGAGTGATGGCTCGGATCGTTTCAGTAGATTTGCGATAGCAGGTGCTGAGCAAAAACAGCAAATAACTATAATGACAAGGTGCCACGGAAGCTGCAGTGGCAATTCCTGCAGTCCCATTGCGTATTTCTTGTCTTTAGGGATGCACTAAGGTGCAGTGTGTGCTTAGGTACTTCTCAGCAGAGAACAGATGGCACTATTCATGACATCCTCAGACTGGGGGCTGCCCCCTGGTAGGAGTTGTGGCTAGTGTGTTCAGGGATGAATGAGTTGATTTGTTGTTGAACCCTGTGCCTGCAGGCTTGGCGGTGGGAATTTTGGCACAACCTATGAAGCCATTGTGAGCAAGGCAGGTGTTCGCCAAGTCCAGGACAGAGCCACAGAAACATGCACTTTCTCATCCATGTATTCATAGCAGTTGGCAGTGCTGGTGGCATGGGCTTTCTGTGACTGGGCCTGGGTGGACTGAGATTCTGAGGGCAGGGTTTGCATTTGCTGGACATTTTGCGACTTCACCACAGATATGTGTTTTTCTTTTCAATGCATTGGTACATGAAGCAGAAAATGTTGCTTCATGTTGTGCTGGAGTCATTCTGTGTGCTGCAGTGCAATTACATGTGTGCAAAGGGCATCAACTGCATTCAGAATATTTTGCAAGTGCAGATATGTTCAATTTTGCTGCTCGGACTGTGCAAGATGATGGCCTATAAACCCTTCAGCCAGCTATCTCAACCCTACACAGTAAGTGCCCAGAAGAAGACTCAGGCCCTGTGTTTTCCCCACCCTTGTTTAGGGCCCTGGCGAATCTGTTGCAGCAGAGTTAACACCTGAGCAAAAGAACAGGAGAGTTGTCCTCAAGAAGGTCAACCTGGATTCCAACGAAATTAGGTAACTATGTGGACGACGTTCGTCGATATTGACTATGCAGATACAGGTGCCTGCTGGGCGATGCAGGGAGATGAAACCAGCTGCCAGTTCGTGTGTTGATGTTCTAATGCAGTCTTCATGTCCAGTGTATGGTGCAAGCAAACAGTGACCAAAAGCATTGCATGACCAGGGGCAAATTTCTTGGTGGTGGAACAATAGCAAGGGGTGCTGGTGAAACAGGACAGGCCGAAGCATACATGTATTCCAAGATTGGAAGAAACCCACTGGTCAAGCCACGATGCGCAAACTACAAGGGTGTTTTCTTTGCAGGTGAGTTCTGTAAAATGCGGCCGCATGGTGTTGACTCATACGCTGCCACTTCTTTCTGCTTTGCCAATTTCCCTGTTTTCGATCCTGGTTTCATGTGCTTGGAACATTAAAAATGCGGTGAAGGTGGTGGTCGCTGCAAGAATCCTAAACGGAGACGCTTTGCCTTGTTCTCTGCTTCGCAGAACTGCCAGGGTTGGACTGAAGGTTTCTCTGCCAACTATAGGAGATGCACCATGTTGCAGGGGTCGAGGCTTTTGTGGTCAGAACCAAGATTATGGCATTTTTGTGTGGTTTCTCAATCTCTTTTCTGTTGTCTTGCTACCTTCCTTGTTTCTTGCTCATAGCAGCAACTGATCGTTTAGACTGTGGCTATCATTCTGCTTTTGCAGCCAATTTGTTTCCGTTATTGAACTGGCTGTCAATACGCTTCTTATTCTTACTGCTTGATGTTGATGCCTTAGTAGCACCAATGCATCATCACTGGTCATAACACTTCGCAGCGTGCTTCAAAGTCCCCTGCCGTTGTCCAGGCCATTTCCTGGATGCATTTGAGCCACTAACGACCGCTTTGTTCTGCAGACCAGTCTGATGGCGGGTTCACTGTAGGGTCGCAGTGGCTGGTTTGGGATTTTGAGAGTGATGCAACTTTATCAGATGCTCTTGAGGGGCCACAACAGAACTTTCCAGAATGTCTTCAACAGTATGTCCTGAGGAATGGTGTGAACATGTCACAACAACAAAGAGATTCAAAGGTATGCGCGATCAACAGGTTGGAGTGGCAAAGTATGCTGTACACGGTACGGGTTTGTTGTGGGCATGCTGTGCTGGTAGTCCACTGTCACCTGAGGTTTTCATTGCGTTATTTTTGATACGGCAGGCTGTGGCCATTGTGATTTTCTCAGTAACACAGATGCAGATTTACTGGAAGCCTCGTGTTTATGCTGTTGCCAGTCCGTATTTGTAGGTTCAAGGTTTCCTGTCAAAGCAAACTTCGTTAGCCTTGCAGTGTAGATGGAATGACCACTGTCGTGAAAATTGTGCTGTAAGAGTTGGGACAGGGGAGGTGCCATGCGATTCCCATCACCCATCACTGCATCAGTTCTTTAAGGAAAGTAGTGAGCCTCGCACTTGTCGATTGTTGTGTGTGAGCAGGTCATCAAGAGGATCATGAAGAAGATCCTGACAGGGTTGACAAAGCTGCACTCATTGGGCATAGTCCATCGGGACATAAAGCCTGCAAATCTGCTTGTCACTGTGTCAGGAGACATCAAGATTATCGATTTTGGTGCTGCGGTTGATGTGTGCACAGGCGTGAACTTCAACCCTGCTGCGGGAATGTTGGATCCAAGATACTGCCCACCTGAAGAAGTCATTGTCCCAAGAAGTGAGCAGTGCATGTTCACCATTGATTGGCAAATGTTTGTCTGGCATTGCACATGCCATGCTGAGGTTCACCACAAATCTTTGGCAGGCTTAACATCTCTGATATTGCCACGCAACAAACGTGCCTCGAAGGGGCGATTCTGTCACCTTCACCCCTTTCCTCCACATGTTTAGCTGCACGTGCATCTTCATGAGTCATTCAAGGCTGATTGGTGGCCGCTTCACCTTCATTGTTTTGGTATCATTGCTGGCGGTGCTCTTTAACCAGGATTTAGTGGATAAATTACACCTAGGGAGGCTGTGTCTCCTGTGGCGCAGATATCTACATACCTGCGTGGCTGTTGTTGCTTTTAATAGAAGGCATTGATGGCAGTGCGATCGTTTGAATTTGGTCACTGTGTGTATCTCATCACAGGTTTTCCCAATGTGCAGCCTCCACTCTTGGCAGCTTTGGTGTCACCACTTGTATGGTGGCTTGCTTGCCCAAATCTCTTTGACACATACAGGTGAGTCATATAAACCCTGCTGGGGGGGGGAGACCTTAAATAGTCTGACCTGTGGACCTTTGTATTGAAAATAAGCTCCACGGGCAGGTTCTGTCAGACCAATTTGCTCGTGGCACCATTTCCCAGAATCCATGCTGCTTGTTGTTGTGGATGTACCTGGCAGCAGGTGTTGTATGAACAAGTAGGTGAATCGCATACAACCTGATAGGGTGCGGGTATGACAATGAACGTCAGTCTGAACGCAACCTGTGTGTTGCTGGCAGTGCTGGGATGATTTTGGTGCAGATGAGTATTCCGGAGCTGCGGTCAACGGCTGCCCAGAAGGGTTTGGTTGCGTGAGTAGATTCCACGGTTTGGCAGAGCAGGGCTTGTTGTTGAGCAGCATAGGCCTCAGTGCGTTCCCACTGACTGGTTTCAATTGTAACCTCATCTGGGTGCGATGCCATTTTCTGCAGTTCCCCTGGCGGCCACCAAATACTTCTGAATGTTGCTTTTAAGAAACGGGATTGCTCTTCCCAGAGAAATATGCACAAGAAGACCAACTTTGTCTGTGCACAAGAAAGACAAGTGCATTTGGGATTTTGTGCTTCATGGCACTCTTGCCACGTGGCGTTCAAGGACTGTTTCTGTATTGTAAAGGATTGACCAGCGTTTGGCCTTTCCTTGTTTCACCAGTTCCCACCACCTCGTTGGACGCTTCATCGCCTGTCATTGAGTCTTTCGATATACACCTTCAGTCCCTGTGCCACACATATTTGTGGCACAGTGTTCAGTCATATGTGTGGCACTCGACTTACCATGACGCCGCCTGCCTCAGGGACCTGGAGGAATACTCCGATGACCTAAGGATGTGGAGAGCAGAGTCTCCAAGAGCCCGGAATGCAGACTTTTCGCTGCTGGATATGAATAGTGGCGCTGGGTGGGATCTTGCCTGCAAATTGGTCTGCAGACGAAACGGTTTCATGAGGTGATCATGGCTGTTGTGGCATTTGCTCTGTGAAGTGTTGGGGTGGGTAAATTGTTCAGCGAATGAAAGGTATCCGTCTCTGCTGTACGAAAGGGCTAGACACGAATGTGGAACAGCCTGAGAGGGATTTGCCATCTTGTGACTGCCGTGCTGGCTCAACATGGCAAGCATGATATACCGATAACAGTTTACAACTGAGCGCGACTGCACTTCTTTTCATGCCTCCTCAATCCGAAGCAGAACAGCTGGCCCATGCAACAGGCGAATTTCCGGTTGAATACAATGTCTTGGGCGTTGAGAATCTGTTGACTGCAGCTGCCCACGGATGTGCCGCGAGTTTTATGCGAGCAGGAAAGCAGATGATGCTGTACATGATAACCTTAGGGCACCGCCTCATAATGGCCATCTCTGTTCCAAAGTAATGTGGGAGTTTTCTCTACATCATTTCTTTTATATTTGGGACTGTGCCAAATTCCAACTACCGAACATTGTCAGTGCTTTGAAACAAAGGACGAAACCCCACTTGCTTGCGCGTGTGGGCAGATAGGCAAAGGGATGAGAAAGAGCGTTTTTACGTGTCAACTTGCGCAAAGTGGAATTTGGACGTGATCATGAACCCTAAATGGCACTGTGTCTTTGTCGCGCGCTGGTTATCCATATGTCAACAATTGAAGAGTCATCCCCGAATGGGGCCTGCAAGTTTATCCAGCTGAAATTGTGTCTATCTGTCCATGTCTCAGGGGCAGGTTGTCCGCTGAAGAAGCGCTTGGGCATCGCTACTTTTTTGGCTTCTTTTAGGCACCGCGGCTCCGAAGCACGTTCTCTTCCTTCGGAGAATAATGGACCCAGGGCTTTGTTTACCTGATGCGAACGTGCGGTTCACACTTCAGCAGGTTGGCAGAGAGGCTGTGGATTTTGAGATAATCACACCGGGGTTGGGATTGAGTCACCATTCTTTAGCAGAACAGGGGCCCTGCTGGGGCTGCTGCTGCCAAATGGACGAGTTGCAATATTGTGCTAATCTGGTTCGGAAACAGGCACGTTCGCCAGTGGGTGCTCGTTTCTCAATTTTTGCTCAACGCGAAGGCCACGGCAAACAGCAATTGGCGCTGGTGCTGGCGATAATGCAGCGAACAGAATCTTTACGGAAGAGACAACAGTTGTGTGTCTGCCACTGTAGCGCGGCTGTCTGTTGGTGCAAGGGCACTGCCAATTGGGCTATTCCAGTATAATGAGCGATATCTTCGTCCAAAAGAAAATGAAAGACGAAACAACCCTAACTGACGTGTTGCTGTCAATCATGGGTGATGCTACATGGTGCGTAACGGTTGATGAACAGTCAAGGCACTAGTGCGCAGTGGGCTGGCCGCATACCACATTGCTGGTAACACGAATTTGCACGTCAGACTGATTCACTTGTCCGCAACCAATGGCTAGTGTGGTCAGCAAGGTCACCCAATGAAGCGTTCGACCTTTCGAACTTGGGTGCGTGCCGCAAAAGGGCAACCGCGGGCAGACATTGCAGTTTGCGGCCCAACAAATGTGCCCAATACGCTGCTGGCACCAACACTATGCTGTACAGTAGCACACGGGGGCGAGGCATGTGTAATTTGGACCTCATTTATCCTGAGACTCCTGCAAAAATTCGCCCCTGCGTAAGAGCTTCTCCACGTACGCACACCCACTTTTCTCCACTTGCCATAAGAATGGCACTCAACGCGAGAGTTGAACTAACCACACCCCCGTGTCGACGCGGACAGCGTCACGAGCATCGCATTGTGGTTGTGCCATTGTTGGCCCTTGACTTCCGGATGCAGCCTTCATATCACCCTCCACATTGTGCATTTGTCGCAATACTTCCATTCCATGAAAAGTGCAACAAGTGCCATTACGAGCGGACGTTGTCTGCCTCGCAAACTACCAGTTTGAAACCAGATGTGATGTCATGGAAAATTCACGTCGTGTAAAGGGATATTCCTCCCTGGGATGGAATTGCGTGTGAAGGCAGCACGCTTCTGAGGACTATTGCTCTGGCTTTTGGGCTCACGGTTCCGCAAGAAGTGCGGCATGGGTGACGAGGCAGGTTGTTGATGGCTGTTTTGCGGCGGCTGACTGAGTAGCGCTTGCCACGGGGCACGTTGCTGGTTGTGGCTGGTGTTGCAATCTTTCTGGATTGCTTCACTTTACCAGCAGTGCACTCAGTACTTCTTGGCTTCATACCGTGAAGCGTTGTCTTGGCACCACGCCTGTCGCCTGCGCTGCGGCGGCTCGACGCCAGGACTACCAGGCATGATTTGCTTTCGTTCCTGCACCGAAAAGAAGTGCTTGCAATCTTTAGATCTCTCCTTTGCTCGCATACCGCATGGTCTTGACGCCGCCCGTTGCCGTGGCGCCTTTCCCAGCGGCTGAAGTTGTGCCCCGAAAAGAACCGCGGCTGATGGCCTCGCGGGCGCCTGCCCGTGCTGGCGGTTTGCACGGCTAAGGCACCCTGGCCAAGCAGCCAACCACCGGCCAGACCCACGCTCCATCAGGCAGCCCTTTGACCACACCGGAAAAGCGCCAGCCGTGGCGCTCAGAAATCGGCGTCCACGGCTCGTCGCCGCGGCCTTTGTTGGCGTGCGCTTTCTGGCGACGGTTGGCCGCGGCGCATGACGGGCGCCGAGCGCCGCGCCAGGTCGACCGCACAAACTCCCCCGTGCCTCGGAAAGTGGAATGTGCCCAAAAGAGCGCCGCGTCCGCCCTTTTGCTTGCACGCGTAGTTAACGCACCAGTCGCACGCAGCGACAGCAATCCCACCCGGCCACGTAAGCGCCCAGCGCCAGCTTGCCGCCGGCTGCCGGCCGTGCCTTGAGCAGTTCAAGTGCCCCCCGCCGGGTGCAACGCCCGCAGGCCGGGGCCCACCGGCGGCCGCGCCCAGCCAGGGGACTCTCGTGATCGGCGCGAGGGTCAGCGGGCGGCATTTAGCGGTCGAAGTCGAATTGCACGGGTGAAGTTGGAGTCGCTAGCGGACGCCGTCGGGTGCCCCTGGGGCCTCGCGCCCTTTCTCCAGGGGCGGCCGGCTTTGGAGGGAAGTGACAGATTGTCGCCGGCCGTCACCAACGGCGCCCAAGGGACGGGCCGATTCGGCGTCTCGTCGTTGCGCCCGCGCGAGTCGTCTTTATGTGGCACCTTGTCTGCCCGGTTTCTGCCCTCCGGGTTGGGCCCGCCTGCGAATGATCCGCCCCGGGGGCGCCGCTGCCATCCCGCGGCGGCCCTCTCGACTTCGGCGTCCGCATCGCCCGGTGAGCCGCGACGCAATCGCCTCCCAGATCTGTCGCGGCGGCTATCTGACGACCGAAACTGTCGCGGGAATGCCTGTGCCAGGCGACTGCCTGGAGCAGTGGGCCATGCGCGGGGAGAAGGCATCCCGCAGACAGGGGCCGGATGGGGCTGTCGACGGCTCCCTGACGAACGCCGCGGACATCAGCGCGCTGCTGAGGACGATGGGCGGCAGACCAGGTGGGCGCCGCCGCTGCCGCCGCCGCCGGGGAGTGCACGAAAGCTTTGGGCTGTCGATCGCGGCAAGTGGGGCGGCGATGGGGAGCGTGAGGCAGCCTGTTGGCGGGGAGCGCGTGCGCACGGCGGCTCTTTCTCGCCGGCGGCCGGTGGTTTGGCCGGTCTCGCTTTTGGCTCGCGGTCAATGCGCTGTGCGGCCCGGAGGCTCGGTCGTTGAATGCGGTTGAGGGCCAGCAAAAAGGGGTGCGGTGAGCTGGGCCCCGCCGCGGCATGGGGCCTGGTGCGCTTGATGTTGTACTTCTCTTGACCTTTGGTGCGCCCCACGCCAGCCGGTCTTGGTCCCCGTCAGCAGCAGGCGGTGACTCACGGTGCGAAGGTATCTGACGGCGGCACCTTTTACTGCGTGTCAGGGGGGCAACGCCGCGACGGAGTCACCAGCGCTGGGCTCCAGCATGTGTCTGGAACCCATCGCGAAATGCGAGGGGCGTGCCGAAAGCACCCAAAACTGTCCGCGAATACCCTTGCCTTTGCTCCCAATG